GGACGAAATAACTGTCCACTTTTCTTATATCAATTTTAATGATTCTGTAATTGATTCTCATCCAGACATGGGAAATAAGAACAAATAGTTAAGCAAAAGAGCCTCTTTTCCGCAAATTTATTCATTTAGCTACATAGTCTCACTTATGTATATTATTATAAGTGAGTGTATATTCAGTTTGTCGAACAGCAATAAAAATTGACTTGGAAAATTGCTCACATCATCAAAATATTTTGAAAATTGATAAATAATCAGGTTGTAGTGAGAGCTGTCTGCATGACAAAATCGTAGACAACAATTTACGTCAGTATTTACATCCCGAAACCCTGAGGAACTCACCAACCAATCACAGCAGACTTTGTGTGTATAAATATGATTCGCAGATATATGGCTTAAATTTCTAAGAAACTACCACAAAGATATAACAGAATGACCTTGCGCAACAAAACAACGAATCAGAAGAGGTTGCTTCTCTGCTAACAATAACGCTAATAATAATGCACATAAAAATTTATAAATACCTCTTGATTTTCATAATAAACGATCTGTTGCATGGCCATTGTCTTCTGTCGTCATAAGGTTATAACTTGGAGGTGCGGCCTTTGTTTATTCTTTCGCCTTTCCAGTGGAACATAGGCCTTCAAGCTGGGGGCTTGAAGTTATCGTTGCGGTACTGTTTATTTTTACGGGGTGGGGTTGCTAGCCTCATGTCCATGCTAATTCCTGACAGAAAGCTTTTCATCTTAGTACAGTCAAGCTGGGAGTTAACAGACACTGAAATAGTTAAATCATCAGCATACTTAACAAAGGTCATTTCATCAGAATGAGACAAATCATGCAAGAATAAGGAGTACAGAAAAGGTGGACGCCAGGCTCAATAAGCAGTGAAGTGGACAACTTCTCCTTACATTTAGTGTACTCCTTTTTTCCTGACATTTATGCCACCAGGCAGAACACATATTGGAATATGAGTAATCGTTTGTTTTCAAATGGAAAGTGAACTGTGTATTTCGCGAATGACAAATCTGATTCAAATTGACTCCGTATCAATTGTCACCGAATTCGAGTAATCGACATGAGTACTAGTATATCTAAACCTTATATTTTAGAGATAACTTCAAAGAGTTAATCTGTAGCATTCGGTTAAAAAAAACAGTTTCATACACAAACCCCCTTTAATCCATTTGAACAAAGTAGTAACAGCAACAACGAAACCGATTGAGAAGCGTGGAACTGAATCCCCTTGTCTCATCAGCAGCTTGTCAGTAGTATAAAGCATCAGAAATTTATGTTCAAATTCTTCAGTCATATTTATGATACCGCACACCACTGTCTGATGAAATTTCCCCTCTCCAAAGTGTGTAAATTATAAATCATGATTGAATTTATGAATTACTAATTTGATTTCATCTACTTCATTTTCCACAGCTTCCGCAGATAAATTTTTTCAAGAATTAGTTTGTTTCAGGTTAGAACACGGATTCATATCAGTTAAAAAACCACTGGAAACCAGCAGGTAGTAATGGAAAGTTGTTTCGCCACAGTTTTGGACTCATCGACAATACGCATCCACTAGTGGTATTCGAACCCAGGACCATCCAGTTACAAGACAAACTCGTAGACCATTCAGTCACTGGGACCTGATTAAATGGATGCTTACTGAGGACAAGTCCAACACTAGGACGAAACAGATGTCCAGTGTTCCGTGATCTTTCAATGGTTCTCTAAATGATATCAATCCGTGATCTAACGCCTGGAGTTCTAGTGAGAAACTGTAACCATTGGAGTCCATCCTGTCGGGAGAGAAGATGCAGTTCCCATCGATGACATTGGTTGGTGATAGCGCTAAAAATCGCGGATTAATAGAAGTTAGAATTCATGTTCTGTGGTGTAACCTGATATAAGGCAGATAAACTCACCGAGAAGAAATTTACACTGTTAATTTCAACTACTTATTATCAGTTCATTATTGACCAGAAAAATAATTTCTGTGTATCCATTTTGAAATTGTTTTTCTGCTAAATAACACAACAAAACAGCATTTTTACTGTGAAACTGTTAGGAAAATTCTGATATTCAGTGATTATATCATGATCTTACGGCTGGCAATGCAACCAGGAAGAATGGAAATGACATCGGCACATCATGCTAAAGACCCTGCTCTAATCTTTATTCATACTAATAGCAGTACCATTAGTACATAGAAATCGAAAGTGAACCATCGGGAAGGAAGGCTGGTAGATGTCAACCTAGGGTTTGTACTTATTTGCACTCACCAGTAAGATGTATCTGCTGCCTTTCAGGAATTAATGTTCAAGAATTCCTGACAACTGCTTCCAACCATCTAAAGTCAACTTCAAGTACACCACAATAACAATGCAGCTAAATTATAGAACACCAGCACCAAGAACTAAACGCATGACGCTGGTTACTCCCTAACTGACAGCAGCACTGAGTGATGCGGATTTGAACCACGAAAGGAACCATCTCATTCCCTTTGAGAATATAGATAGCCTTGTTTGATGAGTTCTTACAAGCATGAAACCTTGGTTCACCCCTTCCTGGAGGTTGCTTTTAACTCCGAAACACTAAAATCACCTATCAGTTTAAAAATTAGTGAAATTTGAGTGTTGATAAAAAATGAGTCATATAGAAGTCGTTAAGAGGCCAGGAAAACAGAAATTTAATGTTATTTTTAGGTTATAGACAAATGACAAGCAGAAAGAAAGTTGAATTAAGAGCACATAACACACGATGATTTGAAAATCTTTACAGCTATTCTCTTGTGTCATAATTCTCTGCATTCCTCCATCTTCTTTTTATCCTACTCTGAAATTCAAGTTACATTACGGACGGACTGATATCAAGGAGTACTGTTAGCTGTTTTGACTTCGTTTCGTATTCTTCGTATTACCCATCCATTCGAGAACAATGAGCAGTAAGAGAATACCAATCGTAATATAGCAGCAAAGAATATTTTTTCCAGAGCATTTACTATTCTCTTCCTTAGACTTTCGGTACACAACCATAACGTTACCGCAGAAACTGAAATTAAACAGTGAGGTCTTGTAGTAATTTATTGTAATAGGAATATTAGTATTTCGAGATGACCGAATTACAAGAATCCAAACAAAACACAGAGAGGGCAGAAGTCAGGAATTTGTATTTAGCGGAATTATTATGCAATTCATATAAGAAACATATCAACAGTCAACAGTAAGTATTTAAACAATACAGAGATAGAAATTGTCAATCACCACATCCGCCACACCTCGAATATCTCCTTGCGTATTTATAACGATGTCTCGGTTTGCTTGCAAGTAGCTTCGACCTAACTGATTCTGTGATATTATTTTCATCAGTATTATCTGGACCTATTTCTGAATTATCTACAAAATCAGGATTATTAGCGGAATCAATAATATTATAATTGGAACGACCTACTTCATTTATTGTCACTTTGTCCAGGTGTCCGTTATGAACTGAGTGATCTTTGATGTCTAATATCTTCACCACTCGATTTCCCATTTTTTGTAGTATAATTCCAACAGAAGGTCTATAGTCTTTCCCTTTGTAATAATGTACATTAGAAGTCGTGGACATCAGATGCTTTTTGAGAATTCGAGATTTGAAAAGTTTTGCAGGACTTTCACGGGTACTTGTATGCTCTGCATTCGACAGACGCAGTCTATGCATATGCAGTAATTCCTCAATTTTAATCAGTTGCTCTCTCATCTCATTCAGGTCTTTTCGTGTTTTCGACAGTTCACATTGTAACTCAGCTACCTCATTTTTGAAAACAGTTGACACTTGAGTTGCCGAACTTGTAGTGGAGGTTTTCATTGGATTAGCTTGAGTATTTTGAAAGGTTGAAAGACACATTGACTCCATTTTACTAGACAGCTTGGGAGAATTATAAGAATGTTGAGCAACATAAGTATTCGAACTTCTGCAAACCGTCTTGATGTGTCCAACTTTACCACATTTGTGACACTTAGCACTCCGAAAACGGCAAGTGCTTCGTAGATGTAACTTTCCACAGGATAAACACGGTTTAATGTTTTTGATCTCTCGCTGCATTCTATTACCTGTGGACGGCAGTTTGGATTGCTTTCCATGAACACTTGTATTTTCGACTTTAGAAAGCATAACATCAGACACTGACGTAGTGGGAGCAGAGTATTCATTATTGACATCTTCATATGTAATACATACATCTTTAGCAGTTTGAAAAGTACAAGAAGGAATCTGAATTAACTCTTTCTCTAACTTAGGAATATTGATTCCAGCAATTAGACGATCACGTAGTTGAGTATGCAGCTGATCTCCAAAGTTACACTTTGAAGCTTGTATTTGGAGTTGCAGAATAAAGTCTCGAATCTTCTGGTTGGGAGCACGAACCAGTTTATTGAACTGAGCCCTCTCTCGCGTCTCAAAAGTAGTTATATGGAAGTGATCTATCAGAAGTTCACGGAGCTTAGCATATGGCAGAGAAATGGGTTTATCTGGAAACGCCAGATTCTTCACTAGGCTATATGCATCAAGCCCAATAGCAGTGATGAAATGTGCTGGTATTTTGTCATCCCGAACATTCTTTGAAATGCACCACGCATCGAAGCATTCCAAATAATCAGCAATCTCTCGCGGAGTAGCATTTATAGGAAGTTTTCCCAGGTTATTTAGTTCCATCGCGACGCCAATTTGTAGTAATTTATTGTAATCGGAATATTAGTATTTCGAGATGACCGAATTACAAGAATCCAATCAAAACACAGAGAGGGCAGAAGTCAGGAATTTGTATTTAGCGGAATTATTATGCAATTCATATAAGAAACATATCAACAGTCAACAGTAAGTATTTAAACAATACAGAGATAGAAATTGTCAATCACCACAGGTCTTCAATAGGATTTACAAAGTTGCCATAAGTAGGGTCTATTTACTCAGCCGGAAAAGACCTTTTCACGATACCGTTTTGTTTATACTAATTATCATTTTAGATAAACCGAAAACGAAAACCAGTGTATCACCGCCAAAATGATTAAAAGACCTCAAAAAAGAAAATATACGTGGAACTTCTTGTCTTCATTAACAAACGAAATGCAAACATATACATTTGAAAAATATCTACGAATAAATGTACAATGTCAAAAGAATAGTAATAATAATACAAATGACAAAATAGTTATTTTCAATTCATTTTCCCGCCAAAACATAACAGATATATACTTAAACACAGCATTATTCTTATTTCTAATTTATTCTTCTTCTTTTACTTCTCAGTTTTCTCTTCTTCTATGAAGTTTAATGCTTTGCTTTATCACTATAGTGATTCATGACAATAACCAGTCAGTCATCTGTGAGTTTTAAATATTCACTGGTTACTCCCATCTTTTAAAATAGGCGGCATGTTTAATACTTTATTTTACTGCTTTCATCTCTACTCAAACCTTTCACAGTGTATCTTTTCACCATGTAAAGTTTAAAAGAAAACAATAAACTCACAAAGAAAAAGTGCAATTCTTATCATTTAAAAAAAACAAAAAAATTTGTTTTAATTCATCAAAATTTGAACCACTGAACATTGAAAACTGTTTCAACTCCATTCAAATTCATTACACTTCATTAAAACGCTAAAATATTTAATATTTATTTATTATAAATATTGAATAAAAATTTTACTATTTATTTATAATGATAGAATTTATTTATTGATTGATATGATTATTTATTTTCAAAAAAAACAGACATGAATGAATAAAGACAGTTAAAAAGTCATTCATTCAATGACCATTCAACATGTATATCACATTTTGAATTTTCATACATTTTTTTTCATTTTCTTGCTGTTATTATTATTATTATCATTATTAATTTGAAGGCATCAATAAAATACAAGAAATTAGTCTGATTTATGTTAATATTATTGTAAAGGAGTTTTTCATTCCCACACTTCATGAATGCATCGTGAGAAAAACATGAGAGGAAGGTTATAGAATAAAAACTGAAGACATGGTACTGGCAAAGGCGGAATCCAGGAAGTCAGTTTATCCCAGAATTGAACACACCAGAATGAAACTGACCAATTTGGTTAAACATATTATTATTATTATTCCCTGAAGTTATGAGGGTGGAAGATTGGGCTTCAACAAGACATCTCTACTTCATCCTATTTTCTGTAGTTCCATTCGGCTGGCGGCATAATTGACTATAATCTCTCATCTCCTTCATGTCACCCTCGGACGCCTGAATTGTCCTTGCCCACTGAGGTTCCACTCGAGGATCTGCTTGGCGTATAGTGTCACTCAATAGTCTCTGCTTTGTTTGTTTGGGATATCTCCATTTTCTCCGCAAACGAAATCGATAATTTGCAAATTAGTCAGCGATTTGCAGTGTGCACAGTTTGAGGGATGAAATTCTGCTTGATGCCCAACCGGTAGCTGCTTCCTTGACGTGGTGGTCTGTCTTCCATGTCCCAATAATCCATACTATCAAGTACTGGTTTGTAGGAATGTTGCTTGATCGGTTGGAGGACTTAATCATGAACTGACAACAGTTAGAGAACCACTGGAAAACCTGGGAGTACTAGACAGCTGTTGCCCGACCAATAGCTGCTGCCATGTCATGGTGGTCGGGTTTGCATATCACAATGACCCAACAAGCTACACTGGCTGTGACTATTGTTCCTACAGGTCCTAACATGCCAGGAAGGTTGTTAGGATAGCGATTAGACTAAAAGCAGTTACTGGCATAGGGTAATAATTGTCTTTTTTACAGTATGCTGCGGGCTTGTGGGCGAAGTCGTACTGCCGCTGGGGATCAGGGATGTAACAGCAGTGAGGTGTTTCCCTCAGATGACCGGCATGCCAGCCAGCTGTGCTGCCTCTCCACTCTCTGGAGGTAGAGAGGGGGTTAGAAAAGTTCGACCCCAACAATTGTACATCCCGACTTACCCCACCTACGGTGGTCCGTAACCGATGATAAGTTTACTAATACAGAATCAATCCAAAAAACAGTTCATACTGGACGTGTGTGACCAGCCTGGAATGAAAATACACAACACTGACTTGAACACTCGATTTTTTGTCAATGGAGAGGCATAATTAGGCCTTGTTCCACCCATTTTAGTCTGGGAAAATGGGCAGTATTATCATCTCACAGCTTTAGTGTAAGACGGTAGAAGACAAGAGATTTGGTGACGCAAGGTTTCCTTGGAATTCGATATATACATGATATTCAAATCATCAATTTGCACAGATCTTTCGTGTTGTGTTACTTCTGCCCTTCGTATTGTATTTCTTTGTCTGCTTTTCGTGTCTCCCATGTTTTGTCACAACACTAGTGTGAATTTCTCCCGAAAGAAATCCGAAACGATAATCCAAACTATAGATTTAACCACACGTAGAGTGACGCGTAAAGTCCAAAATACAGGATATTCTGAAATACGGTATTTTATTACATAAAAATAGATATATAATATACAAACCTCAAAATGTGAGGTGTCTGTGGCTAAATGCCGTCAAATGCACAACCACTGTGCAGTCAATAAGTAAAAACAGCAATGCTGTGTCAAGGTTGATCCACGCGTCGGTTCAAACGGCCCGCGAATACCAAGCAAAGAATAAACAAATATGAACAAACAACTTTCAATAGTAAAGCATACACTATAGGATAAATGCAGCAAATAATGTTTAAGGAGAAGAAAAATAAGAACTATACATTAATAGAATGATAATAGAACAAGTAATTTAACTGCAGTCTTAAGCAAATGTCATTGTTATAAATTAACATATAAAAATCCTACTACTTACTAATGGCAAGTAGTATAATGTCAACAACGGAAAGATAATGAACAGGTAGGAAAAGAATTAACAACTAGCTAGTGCATCTGCTCTCTTTGACACGTCAAATCTATCTTTCGGTCATTAGATATTTTTGTGCCGATGAGCGTTCCTTTACATACTACTGATGAAGCGTATGAGTAGTATATGCCAAGGTAGGACTGGTCTGTACCGATTGCAAGTCTAAAGATATCTAGTGAAATGGTAGGTGAATTCCTTCGACCTTTATGAAATGATTGTTAACGGCATTTCATCACGAATACAACAGGCTCGTCTGTCTTTGGCCAATTTACATTAACTCTGCGGTAAATATGGTATCAGGCTATCAATCAGAAGACGTGTGCACTTGCTATGCTACGGTTCACTCTCTCCTTCCTTCAACTGAAAGTGACAGATTTAAAGAAGCAATATATCTTTAAATAAAAATGTTTGCATTCCAACTCCAGTGTATATTGTCATTAAATTTTGAGTAATATTGAAGTTTTAAGGTATTGGTTTGTAGGGATTTTTCTGTTTGATTGATTGGAGGATTTCACCATGAGCTGACATGAGTTAGAGAACCATTGGAAAACCTGCAGGGAGTACTGCTAGATAGATGTTTCGTCAACCTAGTTTCGGATTCTTCAGAAGTGCTCACCTATCAGCAGGGGGGGTTTGAACCCAGGACCTTCTGGTTATGAGGTGAGCTCGTAGACCATTAGGTCACTGAGACCCGATCTAAAATATCACTACAAACCAATACTCAAAAAAATTGATCTGATGCTCAATAGCGACTGTCCGTATTCAGGCAGTTACCTGGGGTTCTGGTGAGAATCCACGACCAGTAGGGTACAGCAGGTTAAAGGTAAAGCAGTGACTCATCGAAGAACACATCGCGAAGTGCTCGCGCTATACTGTGAATTTGCCAGAAGTTGGAATTTATGGGTTGGCTATAGGATCCGGGTCCCAGTAACTTAATGGTCTGCTAGCTCACTAGAGCCTTGTAACCAGAAGGTCCTGGGTTCCTGGTGGTAGGTGAGTACTTGTGAAGAGTTCGAAACTAGGACGAAACAGCTGTCCAGTACTCTAAGCTGGTTTTCCAATGGTTCTCTAACTAATACCAGCTCATGATGAAATCCTCCAATCTAATATTGAAGTGTTATGTCAGGAGGGAACGTTGGTCAACAACTTTACGAACTTATATCGACTGAGATGAATGGAACTGTTTTATGTATGCCAAACTATTATTACCTTCATTAGATGAATGTTAGATAGCATACGATTTGATTGGAAAAGTGTTAGAGGTGGTCAAATCGAAACCAAACATCAATTTTTGACATCTTTGACAGTTATTATGAGCTACATAAGGAGGTGTTAACTACCTGGTTGGGGACATCAAGAAGCTGAGAATCAATAGCTTGAGACTGCGCTGGTGTTGCAGCTGAAAACAGTTTTCACTAGCGTGGTAACATTCATTCCCAGTAACCTCAAAGAGCCTTTACGTCCTCGTATTTTCCTGTTTAATTATTCCCTCTCAAGCAGATTTCTGTCCACAATAGTTCTTCTGAATTTCTTTTCCCTTTCTTCTGCTCACGTCTTCTATGCTACGCGAAGAGTGTGGTGACTTAAACTGTTGCACTACTTTGCATAGTTCCAAGTTGAAACTCAGTTGTTTCAAATTATCATCGCGTTTCCAATGTTTTTCTACAAGTAACGTGCATAAAATCCATCTCTCCGCCATTCAACATTCTTCCATATGATTATCATTATGATTGTATCCTTTAGTTCCTAGAGGAAGGTAGGGCTTCAGCTGCGCATCTCCATTGCCTTCTGTTTTCTGACAACTTTTTCACTTCGCTCCAAGTCTACCCACATGCTTTCATCTCCTCCTCGCATGACCTCCTCCAAGTCACCCTCAAACTGACGACCAACTCGCCACTTCCCTTTCGGGTTACACTCGAGCGATGGCTTGTCTAGTGATGTCACTTGATGGATTCCTCAGAGTATGGCCAGCCAATCCATCTCCATTTCTTCCTGCCTATTTGTTTCACAATCGGTTCCCGGTTGGTTCGTTCATTGCCAGAGATCCCTGTTGATGATCTTTTCTGGCCGGCCATCTGATCTTAAGTATTGAGCGAAAACAACTGTTAATGAAGGTCTGAAGTTTGTTTGAGATGCTCTTTATGACGCGCTGGCCAATTCTCTGATCTGTATGGTGAGGAGCACTGACTTCACATTGGAGTCAAAATTTCCTGCATTGTAACTTCAAGAAATATGCGGGCAGAAATTCACTCAGTATTGCCATCTTATAACTGTATAAAAAAGAACATGAGGCGATCTTACATCAGTAAATTGAAGGTACAAACCCGGAGACATATCAAAATATAACAGGAGGTAAGCAAGAATTCTAGGATGCTAAATTAAACGCTGTAGGTATCTAACGAGAGAAGATAAGGACCAGTCAACAGATCGTTTGTTGAGGAAATCAACAGATACTTATAGATTTTTATGTACATTATTATTAGCGTCATTGTTAGCAGAGAAACAGAGTCTTCTGATTGGCTGTTTTCTCGCTGGAAATTATCCTGTCATTTCTCTGTGGCCATTTCTTAGAAAGTTAAGCCATATTTCTGCAAATCATATTTCTACACGCTTAGTCTGCTGTAACTGGTTGGTGAGTTCCTCAAGATTAAGCTTTGTTATTGTTATTCTCATGACCCCGATTCGGGAGGTACACATTCACGTCAATTGTTGTCTACAATTTTGTCTTGCTGACAGCTCTCACCACAGGTAAGCCAACAGTATCATCTGTGTGTTTCAGATAAAGCTGTCAATATTTAAAAGCTTTCTAGCAGTAATAATTAAGGCTTTATTTTACAGAATTCTTGACTTTGTGGTCTGTCAAGAACTGACTTCGAATAAGGAGTCACTGTAAACCATGAAGGAGTAGTGTTTCGCCCTTGCTTGGGAGTCTTCAACGTGTTCACCACTTCCCTTGTTTTGTGGGAAGTTGCATCAGCCAAACCAAGCGGTTTGATGGCTGAAAAAATATCAGCACAGATACCGAAAGCTCGTTTGCCATTTGTCGCCAAATTACTACATCTCTGATTTAGTACAAGTGAAATCCGGTTAGCTGTCGACCAAAAAACGTGTGTATTGTACTACTCGGCAGTTCGTTCCGTCCTCTTTTAGAGCTGTGGGTGAGAGAGTGGACGATATAAAAAGCCTGACTGGCTGTCTAGGATCATAGTTGTTTGCGTACTGTCTCTCGTGTTAGGTGGTATAATAGGGTGAGTGCTAGGTAAGGAGAGAAAATTAATCGATGAGGTTGTGAAGTTACATCGACTGAGATGGTTAGGAAATGTGTTACGCATGCATGCCTAGATATCACCTGGTTTCCTCGACGGGCAATGTTAGCCGCTGACAAACGATTGATCAGGTTGGAAAAGAGCTAGGTAGTGGTGGTCAAACCAGAACATGCCTTCATCAGTCAGTATATCTATAAGAGTTCGTTTAAGCCAGCCAACCTTGAAGGGAGGTGTAGACTTCCTGGTTAGCTAGGTGGAGTCCTCTGGATGGTAATAACCAATGAAGGCCGGAGACAGCAGGTAGGTGATATGGCCCAAAATCGTCGTTCTCAGTAATGACGCAAATACATTCAATCTATGTGACTTGTCGTGTCCAATAAAACTCTATTGTTCTAAGATTTGATAGTGTGAAATATTCCCATATCGCATGAATTAAAAGTCAATCTGAACGAGGAAGAATATTCTTTTCAATAATTTCTCCTATTCAGGTTCTTACAATTATAAAATATAATATTTATTGTCGTTACAATAAAGGCCAGTTATGCGGTGAATACATTTTAACGTAGAATAACAGATTAGCAGTTATAGGGTGTCAAAATAAATAGTCTTATTTGTATGACAAACGTGCTAGGTTGAAATCGATAACAAAATATTGTGAAATGGGAGACAATGGTGGTGATTAGTCATAATAGATTTGTCGAATGTGGGGTAGGAAGATTGACAAGTCAGTTCAAGGTTATAAAAGGTGTCAGGCGATGGAGTGGCCAGTACAAAGTGGTCTGTGTTAGACAGGAGATAGTAAGACTGCAATGAGAAGTTCATTATGAAATAACGAATATGTGAAATGAAATAGGCGGAGGCCCATATTGAGAAAAGAGATAATATCACTGATAATATGTCCAGATGGTATAAATGAGAAATTCGAGTGTATTGAGGAAATGTTTGCATGTAGGGCATAAATTATGACGAATAATAAGAATATTTGTAATAATAAGCAAAGGTATAAAAGCCGTGACGGGGGTTAAGGGGAAGGAGCACTCCTGGTGAGAAGAAGAATCATCAGTCCAAGTTTGGCCCCGGTAGGAACAACATCTGGACGTGTTCTTTTTGGATACAAACTTCCGGTTTAGTCAATCTTATTGCAACAGCTTCAGCTATGTGTAGCAGACGTAAGCGAGCTATACGTGATAACGACTTCAGAATTCGGTATATAACCCTGAAAGCTGTGTTGACATCGATACGATGTCCAGTATCCACCAAGTGTGACAGGATCAAGCTCTATTGTTCTTCTATGCTACTATTGTTTTTCCCTCACTCACACTTTTGGTTATCACCCCCCCTCTCTTTTGACGAATCTCTCTTTACTGTCTTCTTCTCTTGCTTTGTGGAGACTCGAACTGCTACACATCTGAGCAAAGTTCTATGCTGAAACCAATCAGTCGGTCTGTTACACACCCATGACACTACTGCTAGAAACTGAACCCAAGACCTTCAAGTTACAAAGCGACCTGTTTGACCATTCAGCGACACTAAGATAGAATCCAAAGTCACATCAATTCTTTCTTCTGCCAGCAACACTTCTCAGTCAATCAATTAATTAATCTTGAGATCAATAAAGTCCCTATGAACCAACACTTCAAAAAAACTCCTATACTTCCCCTCTCCACCCCACCCCAACTCACATCAACCGCCAAAAAAAGAATGAAAAAAGACATTTTATTTGTTTAAATGTTTAATACATTTAAAGTTTCATTTGACACCTGTCAACACCATTAACCACTTCAACTTGTAGTAGCGTCTTGCATGTATAACATTTCCATAGAACGACTCAATGCCTCATCGGTCAAGTGGACCACTCTAATTTTCCCCATAATTTCAGCTAAATATATCGCTAAGGTATGCTCACACTACAAAAATAAACAAGATTTATATATGCATACATATATTTCAAATTACCCATAACTCATAAACTGGAGCAATATACTTTTTCACTGTATTAAAACAACGACAATAACGTGTATAATTTGAACAGTAGTTTAACCCGCTTGAATGTGATTCAACCTTAAGAAAAGGAAAACAAATTATTGGGTTAAAACAAAGCGCAACAGATTACTCGAAATACTTGATGTTGTGATTTTGATCTTTCAAGAGTGATTGAGCCATTTTCAACAATCGCCAATGCTTTCATAATTAAATCACCAAATGTATTGTACAATCTAATTGTTTTTAAAAAGAACATTAATTTTACACAGATGTATGTAATAAAAATGAAAACATACAATACGAGTTCTTCATCGGATAAATTACTACCATTACCACTGGCTAATAATTTTTGTTTTAATTCACACGTTAAATCACGAGGCGCGAAAACCACGCTCATTTAAAATAGGGCACTTTTTCAACCCTACAATTGAAAGAAAAGAAAAATATTAAAATGACTATAAGTAAAACAATGCAATGATTAAAAAAAACATACATATATGAAGATAGTACACAAAATAATGATTTCAATGTTAATAGAAAGTACAGATGAATATTAGTAAATTTTTGATGAGCAAATAGACTGGATAATGCGACATACAGCGACGGGCAACGAGGAGATAGGCATAAAGTGGGGCCAAACAAAAAACTCAGAGGATGTGGATTTCCCCAATGATATACATACGACTAATTCCCCACAAACTGGAAGATATGCAAATGGAAAGCAACAAATTGGCAGAAGTAACATCACAGTAAGGCCTTCAGGTAAACATAGAGAAAACAGAGGTGATGAAGATTCCTGGCCAACAACAACAGGCAACAGTGAGCATAAATGGGAGGAATCTGAAAGAAACAACTTCCTTTACCTACCTACCTATCTGGGAACCATCGTTTCAAATACAGTCGAACAGAACTGATGAGCATATCAAAACAAGGATCGGAAAAGTAAGGCAAGTTGTTATCACTCTGAAGTCTGTGTGGAGATCAACAGCACTCAGCATGAAAGATAAGATCTGGATTTTCAACTTCGGTGTGAAGTCAGTGCTACTATACGGATCAGAGACTTGCACTGCGCGTCACGAAAGCCACTTCGAACAAACTACAGACTTTCATCAACAGCTGTCTTCATTTAATACTACTCAAGATCAGATGGCCGGCAAGAAAAGATCAGTAATAGTGAGGGATCTCTGGCAATGGACGAACCAACGCAGCAGGAACCAACTGTGCAACAAATATGCAGGAAGAAATGGAGGCGGATTGGCGGCCATACTCTGAGAAAAAAACCAACATCGAGTGACATCCATCACACGCTAGGCCATCGCTTGAGTGGAACGCGAACAAGAAGCGACGAGTTGGTCGTCAGCGCGAGGGTGACATGGAGGAGGTCATGTGAAGAGGAGATGAAAGCAAGTGGACAGACATGGAGCCAGGTGAAAACGTTGGCGGAGGACCGAACGCAATGGAGACATGCAGTTGAAGCCCGACGTTCCTCTACAAACTAAAAGAGATAAAAATAATAATAATAATAATTCACTATAAACTAGCCAGCAATACTCACTACCTACCTACATCGGTAGTGAGATTTGCAGAGATTTGAAGTTAGCTCATGAACTGAAATCACGTCATGTACAGAATTGGACAACTATTTCACCCTAGTCTGAGACTCTTCAGCGATGCGCATTAATGATTCCTCCCGAGATAAACCTAAGGATTTTAGACTACTAAGCAAGAAGCCACTGGTCCAGATATATCAGTGGGTCCTATCCTTTTAGAATTAAAGTGTACAATGCTTGCATATGGAAGCGTGTACATGAATACCAAAGGAAATTAAGAGTATTAATTCAGAAAGTCATCTCAGCATTATAAAAAGACATCTCATTCAACAGGCTAACAAAACAACAAACAGACATATCACTGAGTAGGTAGGAACTAAGCTGTCACATTTCAAATCATCACACAAGAATGAAGAGAATTAATATGAAATGACATCACAGCCAACCTCCTTGTCGAAGTTTAAGAATGCGTTTTCTTGATATTAGATGATTGGAGGCAATCTGAAGGACTGTGCCTTGCTTCCCCTAGGTTTTGTGCTAGTTGACATTCAACAACCAAGAAGAAGTATCTGCAATCTTAAAGGAAGTCATATCCCTTCCGAGATTCAAACCGGGATCACGCAGTGTGCTTCAGCCAGAGACGTTACCACTGAGCTATTCGGGCTCGCAATTGACCACCTCCTGTAGGACTGACTGTACTGCAGATTTTGATTCAACCCAAGTAACTAGTGGGATATGTCCTGTCCTTTGTTTGGCACTTTGAATGGTTGATATTAGATGGTTGGAGGTAATCGGAAGGAAGCCTTCCCTGAACCTAGACTTTGTACTAGTTGGCACTGACTAGCCAGCAAGGCGGCAACCTTCTGATATTCATACCCGTGTTATCTAGTACACAGACGTTACCACTAATGAGAAAGAAAGGACCAGACACATTACATCAGTTACTAGCCAGTGTCCAATCAAGGAGTGCATCTGCAACGAAACCAATCCCCAACCCCACCCCACCCCCCACGTAGCTAGCTTCTACTAAACCACCTACAAAGTAACAATTTTGTTGGAGAGTAAATATATGTGTAACAGTGTGAACGCTTCTGCAATCTGTCACACCAAAAATCTTATCAAACTGCTGGATTCAGCACTCTAACCACCCTAGACAGACAATTTAAACCTAATTGCATGATTTGACAGAACACACAATTGTACAATCCTAATAATTTCATGACGTTTTAAGCATAATTTATTGTTCAAGGTTGATTTGATGGACAAAGACTCAGAGATTAACGTCTCTTTCTTTCTCTCTCTCTGCACCTAACTATATTACTTTGTAATACTTCCACCCTGTCCCAACCAATAGTGTGATAACATGCCATTTAATTTAGTAGGATCGATCACTCTAAGTTTATGTTCCAATAATCTAATTGACCCTAATCTACTAATTTCACCTATGTAATTGACCTCACAGTGTCATTATGTGGTATGTGGTAAATTATATCATTATTTGAACAAAGCAAGAACTACAGTTTTAGCAGAATAAAATGGTACCATCTTTTATTTCGTTGCCTTCTCGTCAGCTGCTTACATGGCAAAGACATTATTAAATATATCTACAACAACAATTTTAACATACTTGCACAGAGTTCAGTTTAAACAAAAATCAATCGATCAATATACTCATACACTAAAAATATATACATATATAAATATGCAATATTAACCACTATTCCGAACAATAATAATCAAACACAATGGAAAATTTTAGCATTTCACATTCGGAGGAAAGAGAGGTGAAATTATCCAGTTACCAGGGCAAAGAAAGGCTGATAACCGCTTCTTTCTGGACGCATAAATCAGGTTTCAGGCGCTTGATGGAAATGGCTTCAGCAAACTTAAGGAGAATTGAGCTATTTTGCTTACTGATAATTTTGAACGACTTTTCAACGTCCACCTCATGACCCGTGTCGAGAAGATGCCTGGTGATGGCACTGTTTAAAGCATTTGTTCCCTTTAGACGTAAGCTTTTTGGTACATGTTCAGAAAATCGTAGATATGCCCTTCTTTCTGTTCTTCCAATGTAACTGCTCCCGCAGATACATGTAAATTTGTATACACAGTTGGAGGTAACATGAGAAGGATATCTATCGATTTTTGATTGCACCAAAGAGCAAGTTGTTCGATAGACGGGAACGAGCTTAGCCGCAGGATACGCTATGGCTAGTGATGTACTCAGCCTTCTGTTGATCATCGCTGCAATATTTTCACCTTTATAATCAAGCTGAAGGTAGACTGGCTTTTTTTCCACTGTGATTTGTTTTACTTTTGTGACTTCAGATCTTCCATACTTGTTGATGAACCTTTGAGGATACCGATTGCTCTTCAATATATTTTCAAGGAACTCAAACTCCTCCTCTAGTTTCTCTTTAGAGCATATTCTCCTCGCTCTATAGTACAAAGTTTTGACTAGACCACGTTTAAAGCTATGTGGACAAAAGCTATTAAAGTGCAAGTATTGTCCTTTCCATGTGAGCTTTCGATAAATTGACTTTTGAAGACTACCGTCTTCAAGGCGTTCCATGGCTATGTCGAGGAAGTGAAACTTTCCATCACTTTCGTGTTCCATAGTGAAGTCAATATTGGCGTGTGCACCATTGAATAATCTCAGAAGGTGTGAAGCATGACTTTTATTTTTGCACACTATAAATGTGTCATCAACATAACGACAGTAGGAAGATGTTTCGTCGATTGTATGCTTCAGCTTGGTTCTTTCAAGGTTAGACATGAATATATCTGCTAAAACAGGGCTAAGTGGACTGCCCATAGCTACACCATCTATTTGGCGGTAAAAGCTGTTGTCAAATAGGAATTGCACATCCATGATGCACACATATCATTATTTCCTGATTAAATCTATCGAGTCCTTAGTCTGACAAAATTCGTCTCTGAGTGAGTTGATTGGTTTAAATATCAATCTACTAATTCTACTCTCACAATAGGCATCCTATAAAGGCGGTTTCTCATGTTCATTAGATCAACACCAAACAACACTATACGACGTCTATGTTGGTTATATATGAAAAATCGTAATAAAAACAACAACAAAAATGGAGTAAGTTATAAAGTCTTCTAAACACATTGATGTGGTTATGAACAATCAATTGTACTTGAAACGTCATTCTCAACAATATGTCACTGTGTATTGCATCAATTAAACTTATTTGAGATATGGAATTATACAAGTGAATTTACCAATCGGATGGTTTACACGTCAGTGTCATACTTCAATTCCTTATATTTCAAATTTTATCGACTAAACTGTCTCACTTTTCGTAAAAATGTACCTTTACTTTAAACATTACTATTATTATTATTATTCCCTTGCCTACCGAGTGGAACATAGGCCTTCAACAACACATCTCCAGTTTTCAAGTATTGGTTTGTAGGGATTTGGTTGATTGGTTACAGGATTTCATCATGAGCTGACATTGGTTTTCCAATGGTTCTCTAAACAATGTCAGCTCATGATGAAATCCTGTAACCAATCAACCAAATCCCTACAAACCAATAGTTGAATACCAATGAGATGCTCACTGGCGACTGGCCCTATTCATGTAGCTAGTTAACTAGGGTTCCAGTGGGAAGTCGTGACCCGTAGGATGCAGCAGGCCGAATGTGTGAGGACAAATACTCACCGAAGATATTGACTAGCGGTTGCGCTATATCGTGAATTGGCAGAAGTTAGAATTCATGCATTGGCCATTGGATCGGGTCCCAGTGGCTTAATGGTATACGAACTCGCCTTGTAACCAGAAGGTCCTGGGTTCGAGTCCCAATGGGTGCGTACTGATGAAGA